GGGGGGAATAACAAAAGTGTATTACCTTTTATGTAGATAAACCATGACAACTATAAGATCAAAAGCTCATACAGCACCCATCAAATTACTTTTTTACTGTTACATGCTTGGCATTTTGCCAGATGCTAAGAAGCATACTGCCCTTTCCTTCAAAGACTATTCACCTCCCCACAGTTCCTTCTTTTCCAATCCAGGTGCCCCTGGATCCGAGGTTCTTATGACTCCTGGCCTGGCCTAGGTACCTGATGCTTAGAGCCACCTTCTAGGATTATCCTTTTCTGAATTATGGCTAAACTAATCTTCCCATGCACAATTCCAATTAGGGTACATCACCAGTCAGGAGTTTTTGATGTCTGCCCACTGTCAGCTCAATTAAGTAGAAACACCTTAGCTGGACATTCAAGGTCAGACATGGTATACATGTCCGTTTGTTCCCCACTAGCCCTGTGTAACACTCAATACTTCAGACAAACTGGACCACTTCTTGTATCACAACCTTCCCCAGTTTTCCTTGTCTATCAGATACCATTGCCAGAAACTCCACCTACCCTCATCTCTGCTTGTGACAACCCAAACTTCAACGGCCATTTCAAATGTCACCTTCAAAATGACTTAACATGGCCTGTTTCCCTCATTTGAATTCACATAGCAATTGGTGAAATTTCTCTTTAATGAAATTATCTTAGTCTACCTGGATGTAATTGTCTACTTGTTTAATTCTCTTCAATAAAATAGAAATCTTTTAAGGGTAGATATTATAAAATCATATATTTGCCACTTATGTCACCTCTGAGGCACTTTGTGTGGTATCTTACACATTGTAGAGGCTAGGCAAATATTTATATGAAAGCATTTATAATATACCATGAAAATTATTAGGAATAGTATGGAAGAAGGAAATAGTGAACAATACAAGACTACGCATGATTAAGTCCTAAATTTTGTATAATATATTACAAATGTGACAACAGTTTGGAAATGAAGAACGTTGCTTTAGAGTTCATTTTAAAAGGGAGGAGCCAAGATTGTGGAACAGCATGGAAGTTTTTTGTGTGTCTTGCATCCATGAAATACAGCCAGACTGACACTAAGCCATCCTGCACACCTAGAAAACTGATTTGAGGATTAACACAACAATCTGCACAACCTGAACCACACAATTCAGTAGGAATTCACCCCAAAACAAAAAGCACAAAGAAATGACAGCTAGGGATTTAACCAACACAGATACAAGCAAGATGTCTAAACCAGAATTTAGAATCATGATAATAAGAATACTAGTTGGAGTCAAAAGTAGATGAGAATCCTTTTCTGAGGAGATAAAAGAAGTAAAAACTAGTCAGGATGAAATAAAAAATGCTATAACTGAGCTGCAATCACGGATGGATGCCATGGAAGGAAGGATGGATGAGTCAGAACAGAGAATCAGTGATATAGAGGACAAACTTATGGAGAATAATGAAGCAGAAAAAAAAAGGGACATTAAAGCAAAAGATCATGATTTAAGAATTAGAGAAATCAGTGACTCATTAAAAAGTAACAACATCAGAAACATAGGGGTCCCAGAAGAGGAAGAGAGAGAAACAGGGGTAGAAGGGTTATGTGAACAAATCATAGCAGAAAATTTTCCTAACCTGGGGAAAGACAGAGACATCAAAATCCAGGAAGCACAGAGGACCCCCATTAGATTCAACAAAAACCGACCATCAATAAGGCATATCATAGTCAAATTCACAAAATACTCAGGCAAGGAGAGAATCATGAAAGCAGCAAGGGAAAAAAAGTCCCTAACATACAAGGGAAGACAGAGCAGGTTTGCAGTAGACCTATCCACAGAAACTTGGCAAGCCAGAAAGGAGTGGCAGGATATATTCATTTTGCTGAACAGAAAAATATGCAACCAAGAATTCTTTATCCAGCAAGGCTGTCATTCAAAATAGAAGGAGAGATAAAAAGTTTCCCAGACAAACAAAAATTAAAGGAGTTTGTGACCACCAAACCAACCCTGCAAGAAATTTTAAGGGAGACTCTCTGAGGGGAGAAAAGATGAAAATATAAATACATACATACATACATACATACCATAAGCAACAAAGATTAGAAAGGACCAGAGTACACCACCAGAAACTCCAACTCTACAAGCATCATAATGGCAATAAATTCATGTCTTTCAGTACTCACTCTAAATGTCAATGGACTGAATGCTCCAATCAAAAGACAAAGGGTAAGAGAATGGATAAGAAAACAAGATCCATCTACATGCTGTTTACAAGAGACCCACTTTAGACCTAAAGACACCTTCAGATTGAAAACAAGGGGATGGAGAAACCATCTATCATGCTAATGGTCACCAAGAGAAAGCCAGAGTAGCCATACTTATATCAGACAATCTAGACTTTAAAATAAAGACTGTATCAAGAGATGCAGAAGGGCATTATATCATAATCAAGGGGTCTATCCACCAAGAAGACATAACACTTGTAAACATTTATGCGCCAAATGTATAAATCAATTAATCACAAAGAAACTCATCGATAGTAATACCATAAGAGTAGGAGACTTCGGGGCGCCTGGGTGGCTCAGTCGGTTAAGCGGCCGACTTCGGCTCAGGTCATGATCTCGCGGTCTGTGAGTTCAAGCCCCGTGTCGGGCTCTGTGCTGACAGCTCAGAGTCTGGAGCCAGTTTCAGATTCTGTGACTCCTTCTCTCTGACCCTCCCCCGTTCATGCTCTGACTCTGTCTCAAAAATAAATAAACGTTAAAAAAAAAAAATTAAAAAAAAAAGAGTATGAGACTTCAACACCCACTCAGAGCAATGGACAGATCGTCTAATCAAAAAATCAACAAGGAAACAATGGCTTTGAAGGACACACTGGACCAGATGGATTTAACATATATTCAGAACATTTCATCCTAAAACAGCAGAATACGCATTCTTCTCCAGTGCACATGGAACGTTCTCCAGAATAGACCATATACTGGGACACAAATCAGCCCTAAGCAAGTACAAAAAGATCAAGATCATACTGTGCATATTTTTTTTTTCCAACGTTTTTATTTATTTTTGGGACAGAGAGAGACAGAGCATGAACGGGGGAGGGGCAGAGAGAGAGGGAGACACAGAATCGGAAACAGGCTCCAGGCTCTGAGCCATCCGCCCAGAGCCCGACGCGGGGCTCGAACTCACGGACCGCGAGATCGTGACCTGGCTGAAGTCGGACGCTTAACCGACTGCGCCACCCAGGCGCCCCCATACTGTGCATATTTTCAGACCACAATGCTATGAAATTCAAAATCAACCACAAGAAAAAATTGGAAAGGTAACACATACTTGGAGACAGAAGAACATCATACTAAAGAATGAACGGGCTAACCAAGAAGTTAAAGAGGAAATTAAAAAGTATATGGAAGCCAATTAAAATGATAACATCACAACCCAAAACCTCCAGGATGCAGCAAAGGCGGTCATAAGAGGAAAGTATATAGCAATCCAGGCCTTCCTAAAGAAGGAAGAAATATCTCAGATACACAACCTAATCGTATACCTTAAGAAGCTGGAAAAAGAATAGCAAATAAAACCCAAAGCCAGCAGAAGTCAGGAAATAATAAAGATTAGAGCAGAAATTGATGCTATCGAAACCAAAAAAACAGTAGAACAGATCAATGAAACCAGAAGCT